CTAAGGTTAGCCTGTTGGTTTGCTAAGGTTAACCCAGGGTTAGCTTGTTTGTTTGCTAAGGTTAGCCTGAGGTTAGTGTTAGCTTGTAGGTTTGCTAAGGTTAACAAGGTTAACCTGTAGGTTTGCTAAGGTTAGCCTGTTGGTTTGCTAAGGTTAGCTTGCAGGTTTGTTAGTGTTAATGTGTAGGTTTGCTAAGGTTAGCCTGTAGGTTAGTGTTAGCTTGCAGGTTTGTTAGTGTTAATGTGTAGGTTTGCTAAGGTTAGCCTGTAGGTTTGGTAGTGTTAGCTTGTAGGTTTGGTAGTGTTAGCTTGTAGGTTTGCTAAGGTTAGCCTGTAGGTNTGTAGGTTTGGTAGTGTTAGCTTGTAGGTTTGCTAAGGTTAGCCTGTAGGTTTGGTAGTGTTAGCTTGTAGGTTTGCTAGTATAATTTAACTTCTACAGAATGCAGACTTGTGACAATACAATATTATGATTAAAATGATGATCGTTGTTCCTGTTGTGTTGTAAATTCTTTCCTGTGTTTCTCCAGGATGGACACGACAGATCAGTGTAACGCAGTCATCTCTCATTTCAACGGGAAATTCCTCAAGTTAGCTTCTGGAGTTCTTGGTTAGAAACAGCTTCACTCTTTAATCATCGCAGTAAAACCTACCAGAGGTGGTGGTTATTTTTTGGTCAGCTGTTTAGTTGTTTTTTGTTTTTCTCCTCAGGGCCATCTCAGCCTTTGCTGTGCAAGTTTGCAGACAGTCAGAAGAAGAAACACGGTCACGGCGGGTTTGTTCCCAACGGACAAAGAGGGGATCTCAGACTAGTGCGTATTCAGTCAGTCCTGGGCTTTAATACCTACTGACATCTGTTTGATGAACAAATACACAGAGGAATACATATTAGCTGTAAAATATATTAAATCAGAATGTAAAATATTCTGATCAGTGAAATGAAAAGGTAAATAAATAAAAGATGCCTACCTACAGTAAAGTAATGATGTATATTTATATTTTTGTCGTAGGGTTCAATGACTCTCACATATGACCCTTCCTCAGCAGCCATTCAGACCGGGTAAGTTAGTCAGGATTCAATGTTTAAGTCTTTCTAAATTTATAATACAAGATTTTTTTTCCATACAAATCTTTTACTTTATAGAGTAAAAATAAATGAAGTTTTTGCTGTTTGTCTTTTGTGTAATTTATGTTTATCAAATTTTAGGACTCGTTAAAGAATCTAGCTTTTTAAATATTTATAGAGCAGTCGAGCAGGAATAATGCTATTTGTAACAATTTAAAGTTAATTTGTGTTGTAAATTTTGAGTTTTATTTGATGCCTTTTTATTATGTTTAGGTATTATTCTTCTCCGTATCCAGTGACCAACAGAATAATGACGGTGCAGCCGACAATGTCTCCGTACATGTCTCCAGTTTCTGCTTACCAGGTACGCCCAGAGTCCCTTTAAAAATCTAAATAAAGATAATTACACATCAAACAGACAAAACTAAACATAAATATTATTTTTCTCTGTTTGTACAGATGTGTGTACTTATGTTAAGGTTTACTTGGTTATGTGTAGTTTTGAACAAAATGAACAGATGTTCTGATCTGAAACGTTAAGCTAACTGTGGAGAGTTTAGAAAAGATTTTTTTTGACAACAGCTGAATATAAAACCAGAAATACAATATTACTTTAGTAGGTTAGCTAGTTATAGCTTGTTTTGTTTTCATGTTTAAATGTTAGATTTAAGGGTAAAATTGAAATGTAGTAAAGGGTAGTTGGATGGTGAATGTAACCAAATGTTAGCTTAAAGACTAGCAAGTGGCTAGCAAGGACAAACAAACCAAAATACAAGTTACAAGTAACACAAAGTAACAAGAAGTTAGTAGTGAAAGTAGCAAAATTCTAGCCAAAAGCTAACTAAAACCAGAAAGAAACAGAGACATTAGCTACAATTTAAAAGTATCAAAAGACAAGCTTAAGTCTAAAAGTTTAATAAAGCTAGTTAGGAGTTAAAAATATCAAAATGCTAGCAAGAATTTAACAGTAGCAAAATGCTATTTATGAGTAACACAGCAATAACTAGAAGCTAGTCATGAAAGAAGCAACAATGTGAACAAAAAGCTAACTAAAACCTAAAAGAGGCTAAATGTTAGCCACAAGTTTATCAAAAGACAAGCTTAAATCTAAAAATATCAAAAAGCTAGACAGGTGATAAATGTAGCAAAAGGTTAGCTAAAAGTAACAAGACAGTTGCTAGAAGCTACAAGTAGAAGAATTGTAGCTTAAATGTAGCAAAAGACTAGCAGGAATTTATGAACAGTACCTAAATACCACCTAGAGTAACTAGAAGCTAGTGAAAGTAGCAAAATACTAGCCAAATGTAACAAAAGCTAACTACAAAGAGGCTAATATCAGCCACAAGTTCAAAGTATCAAAAGGCTAGCTAAAAGTAACACACAGTAGCTACAAGCCAGAAGTATCAAAATTCTAGCTAAAGCAGCAGAAGGCTAACTAAAAGTAGCAAAATGCTAACTAAAAGCAAATGCCTGTGAAAAGTTAAAAGTATTAAAGAGCTAAAACAAAGCTGGATAGTAATTAAAAGCTAGCTAGCAGCTAAATGTATCTGAACGTTAGCTTTGGAAGGAAAATATTTCAATGTGAAAAATATTTGTAAATAAAGTGAATTATTATGGAAAGTATAAAATTTACAAAAGCCAAACGTAACAGTGTTAATGTAAATCTGATTTAAAACGTTTTCTTTCTAAATGATACGTACAGCACATCTGTTTAGAATATAATGAGTTTTACATTTATATGCTAATGCTGCTAAAAGCAGCAGATTTTATATAAATAAATAAGTCTTCTTTGGTCTGTTTTCACCTCCCTGTTAGGTGCAGAGTCATTCTTGGGTGGCGCACCAACCCTACATCATGCAGCACCCGGTAAGAGAGTAAAAACACCTCTATTTGTGTGTACAGGAAATGGGTGAGGCGCTGCTACAGCTAACGCTGAGCTCACCAACACCACTCGTTATTTATTCAGCCCGCTCTGCTGACAACAATCAGACTTGCCTGAAGCTGACACAAGTTTCTGCGTTACAAATTAAAAGTGCGTACATGTGTGTCGGAGCGAGCCTGAAACAGAACCAGAGACGCTCAGCCCCCCCTCCTTCCTCTCTGTGGATCCAGCAGGAAATGCCTGAAGCTGAGACAGTCTTGTGACTCTTTGACTCGTCCAACAGATGGTTTCCACCGAGACAAGTGTCTCTGCTGCTCGGCTCGGCCCGGCCCCCCTCCCCCCACCTCTTTACTGAGAAATGGACCATTCCCACAAGGCGTTGGGCTTTAAAGGAGAACACTCCGTCTGAAAATCAACCACAGAGAGAGTTTATTTTCCCCTCAAACACAGAAAATACTTTCACAACTTTTATTTTTATAGCTTTAGAGCAGGGGTTGGACCATGGACTAGATCTGGACCCAAGTCTGAAGTCCTTAAATCTAGATCAAATCGTTTTCTATTTGGATCCAGGTTTGTTGGGAACTGTTAGAACTGCAGGTTTTCTTGTTACAGTGGGAGTCCTGTAACTGTGGGACCATGGTCCAGATCCACATGAAGTCTTATCTGGACCCAGAGACGTTAACGTTTATGGTCATTTAAAGCAGATTCTTAAATCCAGATCAAACTATATTTTCTGGTTCCAGATATGTTCGTAATTTAGGAAAGATTTAATATATGAAAAAAATTTAATTAAAAAAAGAAGCTCATGTAGTTTACAGTGGGGGTCCTTAAGCTTGGTCCCAAAGAAATTTTTTTAATTGGGCCTAAGCATTGGGTAAATTTTTATTACTTTCATAAATTCACAGAAGAGGTCCTTACATGGTGAACCAAGGTCCAGATCTGGACCAAATCCTCACCCCTAATTTACACTACACGCGTCTCCACTCCGCTGCGCTGCGCTGCACTCCGGTCCGACCTCTGCAGCAAATACGCACCCATTCCAATCAATGAGCATTTACACTGGCTGCGCACGGCGCTGAGCAGACAGCGATCCACCAAAATTAGAACCGRTCCTATTTCTGCCAGATGCCGGAGCTGCGCTGGAGTCAATCTACAAAGATCACGTTGCACCAACAGGAAGAGGAATGAACACAACATCCGTATTTTCAGAATAAGACACCATAAGGTGGAATAATTTTGTTGAAATCCCAGCTATATTAATAAATATGTGGATATATTTCTACACAAACACTGTCAGAATGTATGGTTCTGTTTGGGAAGCAGATGGAAACATGTAGCAACACACACGATACATGTGGATTTTATTTTGAAATTCGAAGTTTCAAAAAGAAGACAGCGAGACAGTTTCAACCATAGATATCAAAAGTTTTTATATCAATGTTTTCAGCTGTGTTCACAGAGTTAATTATTTTTTGCTCTGACTTCCACATTTATYACTGGATTTATTGCATGATCTCCTTCCTGCACACGCTCCCTCCTCGGTGTGTCGCAGCGCAGCGCAGCAGAGCGGAGCGGAGCCACATGTAGTGTAAATCCAGGTCCACTCTAATTCAGCCAGGTTGATAAAATTCAGCTGAAATTTATTTTTAACCTGTTCAAGTTTTCTTACATTAACCTACAGTTCAGGGGTCTCATTTATAAAGGATTGCGTGGAAACCATACTAAAAGTGAACGTACGGCCAAAAGGCGGAAATGGCGTACGCCAAAAAAAATTCAGATTTATAAAACCGTACGTACGCACGTTTCTGCGCATCTTTCATTTATAAATCACAGCCGCACGTCAGAGTTTACGCACGAGGTCCCGCCTCAGTTTCTACCCTCTACACGCCCACACTCAACCATAAACAGTCAATGCAAAGTACCTCATGAATGTTAAGATGTATTTAAATCAGTCAGCTGATCAATGCCAACAAAAGTGATTGGCTCAGACACGCGCTCCGTCATGCATCTGGAGGATGACAGGTGCTGACAGACAGCTGCTCACATGAACAGAATGTCTGTAACTTGCAGCTTTTCCCTCATTTTGCAGGTTTATAG